GGCTGCCCCATCCCTGGCAGTGTTGAAGGGCAGGTTGGATGGGGCTTGGAGCAGCCTGGGCTGGTGGGAGGTGTCCCTGCCCATGCAGGGGGTGGGATCTAGATGTTCTTAACGTCCTTTCCAAACTAAACCAGTCTATGATCCTATGATCCTCAAGGCAGTGCTGTCTGCAGGGGCTACACAGACCACTTGGCTGTCCACAGGACTTTGCTGTCACTGGATCTGCCTGTGTCCAACAGGAAACACTGGAGCTTCCCCAGCAAAAGCAGCTTTGCTGGAAACTCTCACACTTAACACACAACCTTTCATTCCATTCAAACCCTCCAAGCCCTTCCATGCTGCTAACAAAGGCAGAGCTAATCACAGGCTGCTCCTCAGCTCAACAAGAACTACAACAGAGGAAAAAAACCAACCCAAACACAATTACTTTACTAGACATAAAATAAAGGTCAGCTTCCCACCAGGCATATCAATTTAGACCCTCTACCTTGCAGCACAGGGGAGAAGCACTCCCTACAAAGGCAGGGTACCTCTCTGGGTCTGCAAAACACATCTCTCCCCCCCCTCTCCTCCCCTGAATGCCAGACACCACTTCAGCTGCAAGGCTGCACCACACAGCATCCATTATTCATTTCTAGCAGCTGCTGGGATGGAGCTGAAATTTACATCAGACAATCTGGGCTGCAGACTGCAGTCGAGCAAAAAGAGGCATTTTTCAACCAAAAAAAAAGAGCTCACTCGAGGTAATTTTAAAATTTCTGGGCAATTTCCCACCTTCAGGCTGTTTGCTCACTCCTTACCTGGGTGAAAGTGGAGGAAGTGAGTCATTTTGCATCCTTCTCACTGGTTTCCCTGCACTAGAACAGTTTCCACCTCCCTGCCCAGCACCCATTCTGCACCCAAACAGCTCTGAAATAAGTACAGTCAGATTGTACTACAGTCAAATTGTTTAACACAGTCAAACTTACTGATTGTAGGTGTCTGTTTCCCTAGCTAAAAAGCAGCATGATGCACAAGGAGATGATGTTTAACAGAAGCAGCTCCTCCCAGCCTTTAATTCTGCAGTTAACAAGTGGGGAAACTGAAGCAAGGAACACAGACATGTCTGGCCACAGCCAAGACCCTGATTGGTCCCCAATTATTTGTGTACCCCACCAACACCTTTCTGGGCAGCCAAACAGCCTGTCCCTGCAGGGTGGCTGAGGTGTGAAGACACTGTGGTTTAGACACACACACACACACCCCTCCTGAGCCAGGAGGAAACCCCGGGGCTTAATTTTCTCTACCTTCAGGAACTACTACAGAAACCTCTGGCCACCTTCTTGACCATTCAGATGTGCTGTGTATTAAGTGATGGGTAAAATCCTCCCATCAGCAGTGGAGAAGCAGCACCATTCCCACTGGGGCTGTACCTGCAGGCAGGGATGGCTCCGTATTCCCCGGATAAAGCAGCTCCCGTGGCTGGGACCAGCTCCCGGCCCATGGCATCCAGGATGGCTTCACTTGAGGAACCAGCCTGCAACAGCAACCACACACCAGGATGCTTTAGGCTCCAGAATCACCTGCCTTGTACAGACTGAAAGCAGATCATAGAATCATGGAATGGTTTGGGTTGGAAGGGACCTTCAAGATCATCCAGTCCCACCCCCTGCATGGGCAGGGACACCTCCCACCAGCCCAGGCTGCTCCAAGCCCCATCCAACCTGCCCTTCAACACTGCCAGGGATGGGGCAGCCACAGCTTCCCTGGGCAACCTGGGCCAGGCTCTCCCCACCCTCACACCAAAGAATT